TTATTAAAATCAGTGTGCTGAGTGGTGGTAAGCATGACTGTCTTTATGTGGCCCTTTGACATAATGGGCACCCATTCAGATCAGACCCCACATCTCACCCAATGACTGCTGGGGTCAGCAACAAATATCAATCCATTCACAGCTACAGTCTGGGTCAGCAACAAATATCAATCCATTCACAGCTACAGTCTTAGACAGAAGAACTGAAAACACAGCTTGTTTTAGTAGTTCATATAAAGCTGCCCTTATTTCATGCTCCAAGAACAAATATCAGTGATCACTAGCATTCAATGGTTAATAATGGTCCTTGTAAAATCTTGGAGTGTTAAAGCTTAACAGTGAAGAAAAGTCAAAAAGTTATTAAAGTAGCTCAGTCATAGACTGGAATCTCTATAGTGGCTAATATTTCAAGATAAATTAGTTCCTGTAAATGTTTTAACACCTCTTTGAAAATTTGGTGGTGGCTTTGTTTCAGACCCAAAATAACTAGAAAACTACAAAAGTGACAAAGTGAAATCAAATTTCCACAAAGTGATGGGGGTGAATTCACTTCACACTGCAGTGTTTTCATAATTTTGGCATTACTTTGTAGGAATTTGATTTCAAATGGTCATCGAACAGGTTTTTAGTTTTTTGTCAAAAAGGCCAACTTATATTTATCATGACAGACTTATAGCAATATAAAGGGGGAGTGGATATTCACTCCAAGGGAGTGAATATTTTTCATAGCAACTGTCATTAGCAACACTAATTCCTGGTGGTTGTCAACACAGAAATTTTTACACCCGATTTCTGTGTTGACAACCATCACAAATTAGTGGTGGAGGTTTCTAATTAGAATTCAGGTCCCTGGTTTAAATCCCGGTCCGGGGGCCTTCTGGGTGGAGTTTGCAATGGTTCTCTCCGTGCATGCGTGGGTTTTCTCTGGGTACTCCGGTTTCCTCCCACAGACCAAAAATATGCACGTTAGGCTGATTGGAAACTCTAAATTGTCCCTAGGTGTGAGTGAGAGAGTGAAAGGTTGTTTGTCCAGTTTGTCTCTATGTGGTCCTGTGATGGACTTGCTACCCATCCAGGGTGTACCCCGCCCCTCGCACAGTGATTGCTGGACATGGGCACCGGTAGTTGCAATAAGGATAGACTGATGACTGATGTATTTATAGTTATTTCTCTTTTTTGGTATGAAGCATTGATGTGTACTATCTTTGTGTAAATGTTAGCTTTTAAAATGAGTTATGCCACTTTAGTAGCCCAAAGTGCGTTTTGCAAGTAGCTTTGCTGATTGACTTTTAAATGAGGACAGCAGCATCTGGAAACCACAAAACTAGAAGTGAAATCTGATCAGCAGCATCATGGCAGTAAACTGCACAGAAAACGCAATAGCACATGACCCCACTGTACACTCTGTTTACCACTGTACACTGTTTACCACTGTACAGTCTGTTTACCACTATACACTCTGTTTACCACTGTAAACTCTTGTTTACCACTGTACACCACTGTACAGTCTGTTTACCACTGTACAGTCTGTTTACCACTGTACAGTCTGTTTACCACTGTACAGTCTGTATACCACTGTACACTCTGTATACCACTGTACACTCTTGTTTACCACTGTACACTCTGTATACCACTGTACACTCTGTATACCATTGTACACTCTGTATACCACTGTACACTCTGTACACCACTGTACACTCTGTTTACCACTGTACACTCTGTACATCACTGTACACTTTGTTTACCACTGTACACTCTGTACATCACTGTACACTCTGTTTACCACTGTACAGTCTGTTTACCACTGTACAGTCTGTTTACTACTGTACAGTCTGTTTACCACTGTACAGTCTGTATACCACTGTACACTCTGTATACCACTGTACACTCTTGTTTACCACTGTACACTCTTGTTTACCACTGTACACTCTTGTTTACCACTGTACACTCTGTATACCACTGTACACTCTGTATACCATTGTACACTCTGTATACCATTGTACACTCTGTACACCACTGTACACTCTGTTTACCACTGTACACTCTGTACATCACTGTACACTTTGTTTACCACTGTACACTCTGTTTACCACTGTACACTCTGTTTACCACTTTACACTCTGTACACCACTGTACACTCTGTATACCACTGTACACCCTGTTTACCACTGTACACCCTGTTTACCACTGTACACTCTGTTTACCACTGTACACTCTGTACTGCACTAGTCGCTCTTGTTATGTCATTTGCTTTCAGGATGAAGCTCAGAGCACAGAATCTTGGCATTAGATGAAAAACGGGAAAAAGGAGCGCAAACACTTTTTGTATCATTTGCATTTCCTCTCAGCAGCAACAAGCCAGTGAAAAGTCAATGTCATCAGGAAACGAACAGCAACACTTCCACAGATTGACTCACATGAACTTCTCTTTAGAGCTGAGACAGTGAGAGAAACAGGATGACTGGTGAAAGAATAGTTTTGATCAACAGCGGGATGAACTAATCTTGTTACTTTCCTCACTTAAGTCAAGCTACAGTGCCTTTTTTCAAAACTCCATATTTCAAAACTTGGAGGATTTGAACCAAAGCCAGACTGTTACTTAAAATACATAGTAGTATATGTCTGAGTATTTTATTTTTTTAACTTACCCACAACAAACTGAATATCCCAATTACAGCTCGACTGATATATCAGCAGGGTCGATATTTTAGGCTGATAGACATTTGAGGTCCTATCAGTATCGACAATTTCTTAAAATTTCCATATCGGTTGGGCTCTAATCACATCGATTTGTGAGTTTGTTTGTACAATTTCAATCAATTCCATCATTCATAAATCTTGTGTTAAAGGAGACCAAAACCTGAAACAAGTGCTGAGGAACTACTTTGTAGTACAAACCGGATTCCAAAAAAGTTGGGACACTAAACAAATTGTGAATAAAAACTGAATGCAATGATGTGGAGGTGCCAACATCTAATATTTTATTCAGAATAGAACACAAATCACAGATCAAAAGTTTAAACTGAGAGAATGTATAATTTTAAGGGAAAAATCTGTTGTTTCCAAATTTCATGGCATCAACAAATTCCAAAAAGTTGGGACAAGTCCATTTTTACCACTGTGTGGCATCCCCCCTTCTTCTTATAACACTCAACAGATGTCTGGGGACAGAGGAGACCAGTTTCTCAAGTTTAGAAATAGGAATGCTCTCCCATTCATGTCTAATACAGGCCTCTAAATGTTCAATCGTCTTGGGGCTTCTTTGTCGCGCCTTCCTATTTATGATGCGCCAAATTTTCTCTATAGGTGAAAGATCTGGACTGCAGGCTGGCCATTTCAGTACCCGGATCCTTCTCCTATGTAGCCATGATGTTGTGATTGCTGTAGAATGGGGTCTGGCATTATCATGTTGAAAAATGCAGGGTCTTCCCTGAAAGAGATGACGTCTAGATGGGAGCATATGTTGTTCTAGAACCTGAACATAGTTCTCTGCATTAATGGTGCCTTTCCAGACATGCAAGCTGCCCATGCCACAAGCGCTCATGCAACCCCATACCATCAGTGATGCAGGCTTCTGAACGGAGCGTTGATAATAACTTGGGCTATCCTTGTCCTCTCTGGTCCGGATGACATGGCGTCCCAGTATTCCATAAAGAACTTCAAATCGTGACTCATCTGACCACAGAACAGTCTTCCATTTTGCCACACTCCATTTTAAATGACCCCTGGCCCAGTGCAAACGTCTGAGCTTGTGGAGCTCGCTTAGAAATGGCTTCCTCTTTGCACTGTAGAGTTTCAGCTGGCAACGGCGGACTGGCAACGGTGGATTGTATTCACTGACAATGCTTTCTGGAAGTATTCCTGAGCCCATTCTGTTATTTCCTTGACAGTGGCATTCCTGTTTGAGGTGCAGTGACGTTTAAGGGCCCGGAGATCACGAGCATCCAGTAGAGTTTATGGCCTTGACCCTTACGCACAGCGATTGTTCCAGATTCTCTGAATCTTTTGACGATGTTATGCACGGTTGATGATGATAACTTAAAAGTCTTTACTATTTTACGCTGGGTAACACCATTCTGGTATTGCTGCACTATCTTTCTGCGCAACAGTGGTGGAATTGGTGATCCTCTTACCATCTTGGCTTCTGAGAGACACTGACACTCTGAGAAGCTCTTTTTATACCCAATCATGTTGTCAATTGACCTAATTAGTGTTAGTTGGTCTTCCAGCTGTTCGTTATATGCTCAATTTCCTTTTTCCAGCCACTTATTGCTACTTGTCCTAACTTTTTGGGGATTTGTTGACACTGTGAAATTTTGAATCAACATATTTTTCCTTTAAAATGTTACATTTACTCAGATTAAACTTTTGATCTGTCATCTATGTTATATTACGAATAAAATATTGACATTTGCCATCTCCACATCATTTCTTTCAGTTTTTATTCACAATTTGTTTAGTGTCCCAACTTTTTTGGAATCCGGTTTGTACTTTGTTTCCAACATTGTCTGTAAACAGCCATCCTCTTGTTTCACTGACAAGGAAAAAAAAAAAAAAATCATAGAATATTTCTTAAAATTGTGTTCCTCTTAAAGAAAAACACATGGCCATCACACGTGAAAATGTGAATTTTATATGTTAACCACATGTAAATATGTGTGAAACACGTTTGGACATGAATAAAAACGTGAAACTTCACATGTGAAAAATCACATGTGAAGCACACGTCTCGTACAGTTTTAGAATATTTTTACCATGTTCATGTGATCACATGCTAAAACATGGGATCAAGTTTGAGAAACGTTAAATTTATGTGAAAGTTTGTTTGGAGTAGATTTTACAAGAACACTACATTAGAGAAATTTTTTTCATGATGCTTTCTAAAGACAAACCTGAAACAGACAGAAACCACAGGAACAGAAGGCAGTAAATACTGATCATGACCAAAAATAAATAAGCCATTTTAAAAATCAAATCTCAGTACGGCTCTCAGCTTCTACCTTCATGACAATGAAGAGGACCAGGGTGACAAAGACGTTGACCTCTGGGTGTTTCCAGGCTTGAGCGCTTCCAATATAATCAAACTCCTCAGCGATGCCCTGTTTGGCCCACGTCCGGTTGTCAAACAAGGTCACCAAAGACTCCTTCTGGGTCAGCTACAGAACACAGAACATTCACAGTTAACGCCAACAACAGGAGGCAATACTACTCCTAAACCTCCTTCAACCTTCAGTGCCTACAAAACACTTAGCTACACAACATATTTTGGTTAAGAAAATATATTCAAGCAAATAAATGTCTTGTTTAATAAAAACAAAGAAAAAATACTTAATAGTGTTTGTTTCAACATTTGCATATGGCACAATCAATGCCCGTCAGCAAACCATTATACAGCTACTTGTAGTTTTGACCCAGACAAGCAAAGACCTTGTATAACCATATAACCATGAACCTTGATTCGTAAGCTTGTAGCTGGGGGTGATGAAACATGTCTAATGATGATGCATATGATGTTTCATTAAATTATATTGAACAGATCAGAAGTTATGAATCAAACAAGAGAACGTTTACAGATGGATACATGTACTTATGAAGACTATCCCAAACCCCTTTCTATGTGCATATAAACCCAGTTTGAGGAATTTTAGGTGGCTCTCAGGTAACTCTCACCTGCTGACCAGAGGTTTTGGCCCTGGGAAATGGGAACTTTTTGGAGATATGCGTTCTGTTACATCTGACCTAAAACTAACACTAATCGATGAAACCATAAATTCTGCTCTCTACCAAACATTCTGAAGGAGACTGTCCAGCCATCCATTCCATCTGTTCTATCACTGTGAAGGAATTTTGCTGGTGTGCAACGGATCATCGTCTTGCTGCAGAACCAACATTTTTTTGTCTCTGTGTGTCGTCTCTGGACATGCTCACCTCCCTTAAGTCCCTCTCCCCTGCGGAATGTCGGCGTCATTATGTGCTTGTGTGCGAGTTTTTTGTTTTTTTTTCATTATCATGCCGTTAACCTTCAGCCAAAGATTAAGAGCATGTTAGGATTTTTTTTTGTCTCCAAACCCTATGCTGTCATTTTCACCACTTTTTATTGTCTGTCCAAACAAGTCTCACTTGTAAATGAGGCTTTGAGGCTCAATGTAATTTATCTGTTTAAATAAAGGTTGAATGAATTAAAAAAAAAACTTGAGCTTGACTGCAGTTGTTGCCATCAACGGTGGAACAACAAGTTATTAGGTTAAAGGGGAGATTATCTTTTCATCTAGGGCCAGGTGGTTTTAAAGGGCTTATTTCCCACTTAATAAATAAAAATCATAACAAATGCAGTTTGTATTTAGTCAGGTTATATTTGATATTAATATTTGTTTGATGATCTGAAAAATGCTAGTGTGACAAATGAGCAGAAACAGAGGAACATTTGTTATGAGAAAAAAATTCTCTGCACAGTAGATCACTTTCTTTTTTTATTGTGTTTTTTTATACAGTATATTTAAAATAACTTTGAAAGGGAAGAAAACCAAAACAATCCAAATCCTTTTGAGTCTTCTGTAGTATTTCTGATCTAAACTCAAGGTTGTGGACCGTTAGGCCCTCCGGTACTCCTCAGCTGCCTCTGAAGTCCCACCAGTCCAAGGCCTGATGGGACTCTTTCTTCAGCTTGACAGCCTCTCTGACCTGGGATGTCCACCACAGAGTTCAAGGATGACCACCCCAAGAAGCACCAACAACCTTGCGGCCACAGCTCAAGGCAGCCATTTCAACAACTGAGTTGCAGAACATGGCCCACTCAGACTCAATGTCCTCGCTTCAGCTGGGATGCGGTTAAAGCTCTCCTGGAGGTGTAAGTTGAAGATCTTTCTGACTGGTTCTTCTGCCAGGCGTTCCCAGCAAACCCTCACTGGACGTTTGGGTCTGTCTGGCATCTTCCCCCGCCATCTGATCCAACTCACTACCAGGTGGTGATCAGTTGACAGCTCAGCTCCTCTCTTCACCCGAGTGTCCAAAAAAAAAAAAGGCTGCAAATTAGATGACACAACTATAAAGTCAATCATTGATCTACGACCTAGGACATCCTGGTGCCAAGTGCACTTATGGCACATATGGACACTCTTATGTTCAAACATGGTGTTTGTGATGGACAAACAAAGGTCCAACAACAGAACATCGCTAGAGTTCAGATCAGAGGCAGTTCCTCCCAGTCACGCCCCTCCAGGTCACACTGTCATTACCCACATGGGCAATGAACTAGTCGATACCTCACAACCTCGTGCAAAGCTCAGGCTCCTTCCATGTCCGAGGAGTCAGCTTTGGTAAGGCAGGGTTAGAGTGCCAAGGCCTCCACCTTCAGACACTGCCCATGGAGTCATGCACCTGACTCATTTGCCCCCTCCTGCATGTGGTGG